CACCTGCTGTGCCCCGAGTGCTGCTGAAAACATCCTCAGGGATGCTGGGGTTCACTAGTACCTGTTTCAGCCACCTCTTGGCAGGTCGTTGTGTCAGGAGGGATGATTTAGTGGAAGTAAGAAGTAAGAAAAAAGAGATCTCCCATTTTCATGATTTTATTTCTCACCTTTGTCATTCTCCCCTTAGTGCCAATGGCAAGATCAATGAAGCTGAAGGAGAACTCATGCACATGGATGTAAAGCAGCCAGCCAAGCTGGGCGTCCGCTTTAACTGGTGTAAGTGTGTGCTGGGACTGCTCCCGGCTTTAACTGGTGTAAGTGTGTACTGGGACTGCTCCCAGCTTTAACTGGTGTAAGTGTGTGCTGGGACTGCTCCCAGCTTTAACTGGTGTAAGTGTGTGCTGGGACTGCTCCCAGCTTTAACTGGTGTGTGTGCTGGGACTGCTCCTGGCTTTAACTGGTGTAAGCGTGTGCTGGGACTGCTCCCGGCTTTAACTGGTGTAAATATGTGCTGGGACTGCTCCTGGCTTTCACAGCAGGGCTGTGCTCTGAGCATGGGGCCATGGCACCAGGGGTCAGAAACTGCCAAGCACGGGTTGGAGCTCCCCCTGTGACTTCAGCACAGCAGCAAAGGGCTAAAATAGATTCTGTGACCAGCTGGCAGTGTCTTGGTGACACTGCTATGCCATTTACAGCAACAGCCCCCTCAGTGGTGGAGAACTCTTCACCAGCTGGTCTCAAAGCGAAAAAGATCAGCAGCCTTGCCATCCCTCCAGGTCATTTCACAGATGGGGACAGGGAGGTGGGGAGGTGGGAGAGGCAGCCCCACAGTGCTGCAGGAGCCTAGAATAAGCTTGTTTCTCTGCACACTATGGCACAGCTACTTGCCCACGCTGCCTCTACGTACAAGTGGCTTTTAATAACCATTAATAATATGGTTTTGTTAGCTTATTCCTTCCCTTGTCACTCTAACACTCCACAGGGGCCTGCTGAGGTGCTGTGCCACTTTGCACAGCATTTTCCTCTGTCTGCAGCAATGCTGGAAAGTGAGCTGCAGTGTCCCCTTGGATCATGTTCTGTTCTGCTCCCTCACACCTTTTCTTTTGCAGAGGGATTATTTGGAGAAATGGGTGGAGGCGGGGTAGTTGCAAAGGAAGTACAACGACTGTTCCATGAGCACAGCCAGACTTCATTCTGTGCTGCTATGCATCACTGGCAGCCCTTTCACCTGCAGCATGTGCAGCCCCAGCCACCTTCACCGGGTGTGAGCCCCAGAGAGCAGCTCTGGGCTCAGCTGGCTCCCCGAGCCAGGGCTCCCCATGGCAGTGGGTGGTGGTTTGTGCTCCTCCTATCACCAGTGTCAGCTCCCAGCACTACAGCTCCTTCCTGGCAGACAGCACCCTCACACTGGTGAGGCTGGGCTGGCTCTCGTGAGCCTGGGAGAGCTGTTCAGGTCATAGCGCTAACTTTCCACAAAGACCTTCATAGTCGGGGCTTTGTGTCTTTCCCAAGTTCCTCTGGGCAGAACAAGGAGTCCTGGTAGGCTTTTATAAATTGTAGCTGCCTGTACTGACCACAAGTAAGCAGCAGCCAAAGTGGGAACAGTCCCAGGAACTGTGGCTGTGGTGCTGCAGGGCTGTCCAGAGCTGGTTACACATGGCAATCATGGTGCCCTCCTCTCTCTTAGTCATGCCTGCTGCTCCTTACTGGGTCATCTCCACTGACTACGAAAATTACTCCCTGGTTTACTCCTGCACTAACATCCTCTGGCTCTTCCACATGGACTATGCCTGGATTCTGTCAAGAGCTCCTGACATGCACCCAGAAACCGTGGAGAACCTGAAGAGTGTTCTCCAGTCCTACAAGATCGACACTGAGAAGATGATACCCACTGACCAAGCCAACTGCCCTGCTGAGATGTAACTCCTGGCACGCAGTGACACAGCACCAGACCAGAGAGAAACTTTGTTGCTTGCTTTATTGTCCATTAGAATTTCTCTGTGTACCCGAGAAATTTAATAAGAGTAGTTTCCTCTTTGCTAACAGTAGTTTGCCAGCCCAGAGGTACTCCTTGCTGTCATTTCCCAAATTGCTCTTCCCCCTCCTTTTGTCTTGCTCTGACTGCTGCAGCATAACTGACTGAGTCAGTGCTAGTGGGTGAAAGAAAGAAACCCTGAAATGCAGATCTGAAACTCTGCTGCTGCTGTGAGCCCTCAGTATGTGGATGGGAAGGGGTATGAGTTGTGATGTGCAAGTATTAGTCCTGGGGAAAAATCGTTCATCACACAGCCCCATGTTTGTTTCCAAATTTTGTCTTGATTCTCCGGGCCTGCCAGGAATCTGCAGTGTCTGAACTACACTGAGCACTGCCTTAGCAGCAGCAACATCCAGACATGGTGGGTCAGTCCTGCAGCCTGGGAACTGAGGCTGGGGTCTTGAAAGTGTTCCCGAGCAGGTCTGTAGGCATGTGTTGCTGCTAAGTCAGCAGACCTTCTTGCTAGAAATCAGACCTTGCCCTTTGTATTTTAAATCTAAAATATCCAGAGATTCAGCATCACTCCCTCCCCAATGTCTACATGTGTCCTTCTCTTGCCTCTGATGAAACTGGTCCTGCCCTCCCAAGGGGCCAGCTCTGACTGTACTTGTAAGCAGACATAAAGAGATGGGGCTGCTCCCTTGTTCTGTCTTCCGGAGGCTTTTCCCTGAACACCAGGAGCCAGCAGGCTGTGCCTGACATCCTGCCCGCTGCTGCTGCACGTGCCGAGTGCCCGCTGGCGCTGCATCTGCCCTGGCAGGTGTTCAGCAGGCACCACGACAACTCTGCTTGAATAGCATTCATGCAACTCATTAAAAATGAAATAAAAATTCCTGCTTCGGGCCTTTTGTACCTTCCCAGATGCACAGCTTTTGCCAGCAGGCTGAGGGCTCGGTGTGTGGGGCCTGCCCCTCCTCTGGGGCAGCAGCACCACCACAGCAGGGTTGCAGTGAACATAACAACCACGGCTGAAGGGAAATGGGTTGTTCTAGGAGCCTGGAGCTCTTTCCAGCTCTCCAGGGCTGGATGGATGGGCACCTCCCATCGTCTGAGTCCTGCCAGCAAATTTGTGTTGTGGCTTTGGCTGACAGTGACCCCCATCTCCTGCTGCTTTTACTGACATGAAGAAATAATGACATGGATGTAGAATGCTGTAAATCTGCAGGAAACATTCTACACTTGTTTTGATGGGACCCTGGTGGTGTGGGTGTGCTGCAGAGCACTTTCTTGCCCTGGGAGAGCAACAGGAGCTGAGCAGGAAACCAGTATGTCACTAATCTTTACCAGTCAGAGGAGGCCAGGATGGGAGGGACCAGAAACAACTGCCATGTTTAAGTCATTATCCTTTAAACTTTCAAATCCTAATGCCACAGTTCCTGTGACACAGAATTAAACACTCCACCCGATTTTTCAGGCTGTAAGGATGATGGACGTGCCAGGACACAAACAACTGCACAGCTGTTCCCAAGTGTGTCAGATTCTGGGTGTAATCATTTCATCACTGCTTCATCGGGTTCCTATTTTCCTTCTCACATGGATGGTGCTGCTGTAGCCCTCATTCTGTGTGATGCAAGGGACAGTGGCATGGGACACTGAGCCCTAGGGGTGGGAACCTGCAGCTCCATGGGCAGGACAGGCACTGCCCCTGGATCTGGCTGGAAACTGGGATCTCCAGGCATGGCTGAGAAATGGAAATGTTTCACTCAGAGACAAACCCCTGCACTGGGCCCTCTGAGACCACGCTGCTTCCTTCATTGTACCACAGAGACCGTGACAATCCCGGGCTGCTCTGGCAAGCACGTTGTGCCAGGGGCATCTCCCCATGGCAGCACAGAGAGCTCGGGGACATGGCAACACAGCTGCAGCCTGCCCTGCCACGTGCCAGCCGTGTCCCCAGCGCCACAGCACACGCGTGGGACACCCTCGAGGGGCTGGGAGTGCCAAATAGGCACAGGCCCCACGCAGCCCCAAGAGCTCCAGGGATGTGCAGACACCCCCAGGGCAGCACACGGCAACCTCTGTGTCCGTGTGTCCTCATCAAAGCAGGTATGGATCTGAACGGGAGATGCCAAGAGATGGAGCCAGGCTCTTCTCCGTAGTGCCAGCCACTACTGAGGCAATAGGCAGCAACTGGTGCACAGGAAATTTCACCTGAATATGAGGAAGAATTTCTTCACTGTGCGGGTGATGGAGCGCTAGAACAGATTGCCCAGAGAGGCTGTGAAGTTTCATCACTGGACATATTCAAGAACAATCTGGACACAACCCTGTGCAGTGTGACCCCCTCTGACCTGACCGATTCCGTGATTCTGTGTCCGTGTGCCTGTGTGTCCCTGTATCTCTGTGCCTGTGTCCCCCTGTGTCACTGCCATGTCCGTGTGTCCCTCTATCCCTGTGTCCGTGTGTCCCTCTATCCTTGTGTCCGTGTGTCTCTCTGTCCCTGTCCCTGTGTCCGTGTGTCCCTGTATCCCTCTGTCCCCGGGTCCCTCTGTCCCCTGCTCCCTCTGTCCCCGTGTCCCTCTGTCCGTGTGTCCCTGTATCTCTGTGCCTGTGTCCCCCTGTGTCACTGTGTCCCCGTGTCCGTACGTCTGTGTCCATGTCCCTGCCATGTCCGTGTGTCCTTCTGTCCCTGTGTCCGTGTGTCCGTGTCCCTCTGTCCCTGTATCCCCGTGTCCCTCTGTCCCTGTGTCCCCGTGTCCCTCTGTCCCTGTCCGTGTGTCCCTCTGCCCCTGTCCCTCTGTCCCTCTGTCCGTGTGTCCCTCTGTCCCCGTGTCCCTGTGTCCCCGTGTCCCTCTGTCCCTTTGCCCCTCTGTCCCCGTGTCCCTCTGTCCCCGTGTCCCTCTGTCCGTGCTCCCCGCGCGCGCAGAGCGCCCCCTGGCGGTCGCGCATGCGCACTGCAGCAGGGGGCGGTCGGTCCGCCGGCCGCCAGGGGGCGCGGGCGC